AACAGCCCCAAAAATGTGTGAAAAGACACAAAAAGCGGTTCTGGGTGCTGTAGCACTCACAGTTTCTCCAGCAGGATTTTGTACTGCTCGTCCCCRCGGCCGCCCTCCACCTCCTGGTCCAGCCTGGTGATCAGCTCGTTCTCAAACTGGAAAAAACAAAAAAAAAAAATCCCAAAATCACAGATCCATTCCCTCACCTGCTGGAATCCATAATCAATAAATGATTGAACACAGATCCATTCCCTGACCTGGTGGAAACCATAATCAATAAATGATTGATCACAGATCCATTCCCTGAATCCATAACCAATAAATGATCAATATCACAGATCCATTCCCTGACCTGCTGGAATCCATAATCAATAAATGATCAATCACAGATCCATTCCCTGAAGCCATAATCAATAAATGATCAATCACAGACCCATTTCCTCACCTGCTGGAATCCATAACCAATAAATGATCAATCACAGATCCATTCCCTGAATCCATAATCAATAAATGATCAATCACAGATCCGTTCCCTGAATCCATAACCAATAAATGATCGATCACAGATCCGTTCCCTGAAGCCACAATCAATAAATGATCAATCACAGACCCGTCCCCTCACCTGCTGGAATCCATAATCAATAAATGATCGATCACAGATCCATTCCCTGAATCCACAATCAATAAAGGATCAATCACAGACCCGTCCCCTCACCTGCTGGAAGTTGCGGTTGCCGCTGAAGTTGAACTCGCACTGCATCATGTCGAAGAAGATGGGGATGGTGGCTCGGCGCAGCTCGGGCTCGGGCACCAACGTCACCGCCAGGACGGGCCCCACCATGGCCGGGATGAAACGCATTTTGTGGGGTCCTTTTGGGGGGGGACGGGAAAATCCCATTGATTTGTGGGGTGTGGGATGGGATATGGGGAATGTTCGGCATTTCAGAGCTTTGTTCACATTGAAAACGCCGCTCAGAGTGAGGATTTTGGGTGCGGCTGCTGAAGGCAGAATTCACTTTTTTGGTTTTTCACCGTTTTTAAATTCACGGTTTTTGTTGGCCCCAAAAGCCCCAGGGAATAACTGAATTGGATGGTAAATCCCCCCCAAAAAAAAGAAATTTTTAAAAAATTTTTAAAAATTTTCAGAAATTTTTATTTCTGAAAAATCCCACTCATCCTTTACATCCCATCATATCCTACCACATTATTTCATAATTAAATTAACATTTACATGGCGCAGCATCCGTTACAGGGAATAGAAGAAATTTCAGAAAAAAAAACAACCAGCTTTTCTGAATTATTCACAGAAAAAAAGGAGATTTTTTGAGCGCTAAACAGCGGAATTTGAAGCGAATTTGCCCACATTAAACATCTTTATAAAGAAATAAAAGATTTGAAAGCCAGTTTGGGGTTAATAAGGATATAATAAAGAAAAAGATGATAAAGAATAAATGTAATGAAGAATGAAGATAATAAAGAATAAATAGAAAGAATAAA